TGGAGAATGTGTATAGATTACAGGGCATTAAATCCTTCACCATCAAAGATCATTTTCCCATCCCTACAATTGAGGAGCTACTGGACGAATTGCTGGGAGCTTCCATCTTCAGCAAATTGGACTTGCGAGCAGGGTATCACCAGATTAGAATGATGCCTGAAGATGTCCACAAAATGACTTTCCGCATCCATGATGGCTATTACGAATTCCTCGTAATGCCTTTTGGATTAACAAATGCACCAGCGACATTTTAATCAGCCATGAACAAGATCTTCCAACCCTTTTTGAGGCATTTTATGATTGTCTTTTTTGACGACATACCAGTGTATAGCAGGTCCTTGGAGGAACACGTTATGCATCTGGAACAGGTACTTAGTTGTTTAATTCAGCATTCCTTCTTTGTTAAACTAACTAAGTGTGACTTTGGTGTGCCTAAAATTTCGTACCTGGATCATATTGTTTCTACAACTGTTGTCAAAGCTGACCCAAAGAAGACTTTAGCCATGACACAATGGCCTCAACCTGTCAACATCAAACAGATGCGTGCATTTCTGGGGTTGTGTGGCTATTATAGACGTTTTGTTCATCACTATGCCACTATTGCTGCACCCCTTACTGATTTATTGAAAGGTGACAAGTTTGTGTGGAGCTCAGAAGCAACCTTGGTTTTTGAGAAACTTAAGAGAGCTATGTCCACCACACCTATACTAACATTGCCAGATTTTTCACAATCATTGGTGGTTGAATCCGATACTTCAAATACGAGTATAGGTGCAGTCTTATTGCAACAGGGTAAACCAGTAGCATATTTTAGTAAGAAGCTAAGACCCCGTTTGTCAGTGGCCTCCATTTATATACGAGAACTCTATGGGATAACTGAAGCGGTCAGGAAATGGAGACACTACCTACTTGGGGCCTATTTTATAGTGCGAACTGATCATCAGAGCATTCGAGAACTGCTATCCCAAACTGTTTTAGGTTTGGAGCAACACATATATATTTCGAAATTGTTGGGGTATTCCTTTGATATTGAATACAAGCCTGGCAGATCGAACATAATAGCTGATGCGTTGTCAAGGCAGAATGAGAAGGTAAAAACCAAGGAGCTTTGTTGTCATTAATTTATGAACTTACTTTTGACGTGTTAGCTCAGATTAAAACTGAGAATGACACCAAGTCTGAGCTTTTGTCAATTCATGAGAAGCTGGCACGTGGTGATTCAGTTGATCCCCATATTACACGTAAAGATGGACTCCTATATCATAAAAACAGATTTTTACTTAGTTTCGATTCTGAACTTAAAGCAGCTCTGTTAGAAGAAGCCCATTCTTCACCCATTGGTGGACATGCAGGCATCCTTAGGACTTTTCTTAGGTTGTTTGCTTCTTTCTACTGGCCCAAGATGCGCAATGATGTCCATAAATTCGTGCAAGAATGTCCAGTTTGCCAACGGATAAAAACTTCAATGCAAGCTCCATTGGGTCTTTTGCATCCTCTCCCTATTCCAGAAGCAGTATATGAGGATCTTACCTTAGATTTCATTGTGGGCCTTCCATGTTCACATGGATTCTCAACTATATTGGTTGTTGTTGACCGCCTCACAAAGTAAGCACATTTTGGTCCCTTACCAGCATCCTACACCGTTGTAATTGTTGCAGAATTGTTAGCTGATATGGTCATAAAATTACATGGTTTTCCTCGTTTGTTGGTGTCGGATAGAGACCCAATTTTTATGAGTCAATTTTGGCAAAAACTATTTCGTCTCAATGGTACTAAATTGAATGCAAGCTCAGCTTACCACCCTCAATCTGATGGGCAGATAGGGTGACTAACCGGTATTTGGAGCAATACCTTCGAGCTTTCTGTTCTGATCAGAACCAGAAGTGGCCATCGTTTTTATGTTGGGCGGAGCTCCATTATAACACATCGTTACATTCTTTGATAGCCATGAGCCCCTACCAAGCATTGTATGGTCGCCTGCCTCCAGCTATTCCCCACTATCCTCGAAGGTTGATGAAGATAGAAGCACTGGAGACTATGTTACAGCATCAAAATGAGCTGCTAGCTCAGTTAAAGTTGTCTTTGGCTCGAGCTCAAAATAGAATGAAGTCTCTGGCGGATCAGCACCGTACTGACCGTAGCTTCAATGAAGGAGATTTGGTGTTGGTCAAGCTACAACCATATAGGCAATTATCGGTTCAACCTAGATCAAATCATAAACTGGAAAAACGATATTATGGACCTTACCCTGTCCAGAAGATTATTAGTAAGGTAGCTTATCAGTTAAAGTTACCAGACGGATGTAAAATACATCCCACATTTCACATCTCAGCACTGAAACTCTATAAAGGGTGCCCAAATGTTTCTTGTTATCCTCTACTTGAGGCAAGTATCGATAATCAACCACTGCAAACTCTGGTTGCCATCTTACCTAACCGTGTTGTTTCAGTGAAGGGGCGTCAGTGTTGGGTTAAATTTTAATGAGATAAAAATAGAAAATAGAAAATAGAAATGTGAAGAGTTTTCTAGTGAAGAGTCATGTCCTTAGGTTTGTGTTAGTGGATATTAATGAGTCAGTTATGTCAGTTAGAATATTAATGAGTCAGTTATGTCAGTTATAAAGTAATGAGGGTGTTATGTGTGGAGTTATGTGGTCAGTTTTATAGCTTATAAATAGCCTTTGATAGTTTGTATGAAATGTAGATCAAGTAGATCAAGAGAAAAAAAGAGAGAGCAAGAAAGCAAGAATAGAAAAGAAAAGTTTTTTTGTAGATACACAAGTATGGTTATCTCTTGCATCTGTGTGGATATTCAATTCTAACAAATTGGTAGCAGAGCTTGGGCTATGGAGGAAAAGAACGAGATGGAAGTGCCACTCTTCCATGGAGATAAGGATGAAGCATTGGATTGGCTTCTCTGTTTGAAGGAATATTTTCGGAGAGAAAAAACATTTGAAGAGGACAAATGGCAGGTAGCCATGAGAAGACTCAGAGGAAGCGCAATCAAATGGTTCCATACATGGAACTGCCGCGACTTTAATAATATGTGGAAGGATTTTCTAATGGCCTTCATAACAAAATACTTGCCTGGACGTTTCGATCTGATTAATGAAGAAGATGAAATCTTCAATGATGATGATGAAGATGAGGAGAATGATGCGGATGAAGAAGAGGCCGAGATGGCAGAATCCGAGGTTGCCAACGGCAACGCATCCGCGGAGGAGATTGACGTGTCGGAGCGCGTAAGAGATGACTCGGAGAAGAAGACGATGGAGATGACTGAGAACAAGGGAGCCGAGATAGAAGATGAGGAGAACGAAGGAGCCGAGATCAAAGCGGAGAAGGACGGGAACGACGAGTCCATTATCGAGGTAGAAGACTTCGCGGAACCTGAGTGTCTGGAGATAGAATTGAAAATCGGAAAGGAGATTGAGAAGCCGAGGTGCTTGATGGAGACCGGCTTGGAGGAGACTGTGAATCCGAGTCTATCCGAGTCTCATGTTGATAACCGGGATTGGGGAGATCCCGGCTAAATCACCGAGTTCATGTTTTGGAGAAGAGCTCGACCCCGGCGTGATGAGGTTGATGTCGGAGACCGGCATAGGCGCAGTTCGGGTTGGAAGTCAGAAGTCGGAGACTGCATTGAATTTATGGTGGAAGTGGAAGATGTCGACACCACCGAAAAGAGACCATTTCCCTGGAGGACGGTGGTCTGAAATTCCATTGATGAGGCGCGTGGAAGCTGGACTCGATGAAGAAGAACCTGGCGATGAGGAGCCTAGAGTTACTTTTATGGCGGAATCGTTTTGGCTCAAGCGTAAACCAGAAGAAGATCGTGGGGCGGAATCAGAAAATGATGAGTTGAGTTATTTGCTTGATGATGGAAATCAACGGTCCTCAATGGGTGATGGGGTTACTGTGGTTGATGAGGCCCGACGTGCTATTAATGTAGCACATGTTGAATCTGAAAGTATTAAAATTGGCATAGGTGTTGTAAAACTAATGGGACGTTATAGTGATACAGATACTGATCAGTATGATGACTTGTGTGATGATCATACGTGTAAGAATGGATGTGGAAGTATATCGGAGGATGAGGTCGACGGAGAAAAATTCAAGACTGTCTATCTTCCACCAATGAAGGAACCGCCGGACAAAAAAAAATTGAAGAAAGGAGTGCAACATGGAAGCAGCGCGAAAAAAATCAACCGGTGGAAAATTCAAAAAGAAGAATTAAAATTTAAGGGGGAGTTTTGTTGGGTTAAATTTTAATGAGATAAAAATAGAAAATAGAAAATATAAATGTGAAGAGTTTTCTGGTGAAGAGTCATGTCCTTAGGTTTGTGTTAGTGGATATTAATGAGTCAGTTATGTCAGTTAGAATATTAATGAGTCAGTTATGTCAGTAATGAGGGTGTTATGTGGTCAGTTTTATAGCTTATAAATAGCCTTTGATAGTTTGTATGAAATGTAGATCAAGAGAAAAAGAAAAAGAGCAAGAAAGCAAGAATAGAAAAGAAAAGTTTTTTTGTAGATACACAAGTATGGTTGTCTCTTGCATCTGTGTGGATATTCAATTCTAACAGTCAGTAGAAACAAGCTCTCGTTCAATGGTCAGCTAGTGTTCCAGAAGACGCATCATGGGAACCAGTTGCAGAGCTTCGACAAGCTTACCCATCCTTGAACCTTGAGGACAAGGTCCATGTCGAGGAAGGAGCAGTTGTTACGACCTCAAGAGCAAGGAGGCAAAGACGTGAGCCAGCATGGACAAAAGATTACTGTGGCATTTAACTTTTGAGCGCGTGATGTAATTACAAAATAGATGATACATTGTAAGCGAGTGGTTAGACGGTTAAAACAGTTAGCAGTTGTATGCCAGCTGTCTGTAATTGGTTAGGGTATAAAACTGAATCGATGTCATTACTTAGGGTATCTGAATAATAAACAACCCTTTTCATTCTTTGTTACTTTGCTCTGTCTCTTTGGTACCATCGTGTATCAGCAAGGGAAGAAGATTGACCACAATGGCATAAAAGTTGAACTCCTTGGACAGATAGGTTTGTCCTTGGCTACTCTAACTATTTAATGTGGCATGTGTCTCCAAAGTCGAATGTGGCATTAGTTATTCATATACTTCATTGACCCTTGTAGTTGTAGTATTTGCATTATCTATCACTATGTGTGGCCGTGTGGTGAGGATGATGATGTCTGTAGTTTTTTGGCCAGACAATTCCTATTCAGCAAATTTTTATTTTTTTTAAATAATGTTTTCAAGATACTATGTGATAATGAAAGCAAGATCTCGTTGTATTTTCTAGCATTTTTTTGTAATTTCCTAATAAAACATGCATTATTTCCCTGGCTATGTTTGACCTTTATATTCCTTTAATGAGACTGGAGATATTGTTGTTTGTGTTAAATATTTGAAGCTGATTCTCTGTCTTTTATCTAACAGACATGATGGCCTGTTGGATTGTTTCTTTTCTATCTTAAATTTTTGTTTGTAATGATCATGAAGGGAAAGAAGTATTCCATTCTGAACTTGTATAAAACATACAAAGTTGTTATTCCACTATTGCTTTGGGACTCATTTATTTAAATGACATTTGAAATCATATCGTTTTCTCTTCAAGTCTGATATCATTTTCTTATCTTGTTTCAACATGCAGAGATGTATTTTGACAGAGGGAATTTTTATGACTTTACCTCTCTTGGTGAGCAACTGAGCATTCTGTAACTTCCTTTTAATAATGGAACTCTACTACATGTTACTTATACTGCTGAGAAATAATAGGTTGGGGCTTGGTAGGGGAGGAAAAGAGAATTTTATCTTGTTTATCCTTTCGTTTGAATTAATATGAAAACTCTACTTGTTATTCTGCTTTGTAATTCATCTTAAAGGTGAATAAAATGTGTATAATTTCTTATATCTTGTATATGGTTTCAGTTTCTTATTATCTTTCTTGCCATGTTTTGCAGTACGAGAACTGGATGTTCCGGGAGATATCTATGAGAAGAAAACTTATCCATTTGAATTTTCGACTGTTGAAATGCCCTGTGAGACGAGAATAGCTTTGGTACTACAAAATGCACCTAAAACTGGGTGCATATTCTATTCATATTGTGACACGTGTCTTACTTTACATTAAATCATTCTCTCTCCTAATATTAAAATAAAATATTTATTATTAATTTGATAAAATTAAAACATGTGTCATAATATGAGTGAAAGATGCATTGAATTTAACGTGCATGCATAATATAGTTTGTAAACAAAAAATTTGTAAATATAATTTCCTTCCTACAATATTAAATTAGTTTTTGAAAGATGCTTCCCGTGCATCCTTCGGTACAGCTGAGGTATGCAGAAAACGATGTAAATGTCAAACATTAAAAAATATGAAAATATCAAGGGATGAGTGTGTACACACGCAAAACAGCCATTGTTGAACGATTCATTAACGTGGAATCAACCTTCAAATTCTCACCTTTCGGCCGGCTGCCACCTATAGAAGCATGGCTATCTCATATGCTAGTCCCTGACAAACTATTATATATATGCTTCACAACATTCATATTATCATCATTCCAATACCAAGCATTTATCCTTTTCAAATTTCTCAATACATTCCCTATTTTAGCAATGGCAAGCAACTCTCTCAGGTTTACTTTGGTGACCATTTTCATCTTTGCCATGGCTCTCTCTCCCACTTTACCATGTGATGCTGCACGCATTCCGTTATCAGGTATACACATAAACATTGCAATTAGATATCATAAATTGAAACTTTCAAAGTGACATGGCCTTAATTATGCATGGTTTGCAATGATAATGAACTTATCAACTCCATTTTGTTATGCAGTTAGGGACCCCCCCATATGTATTGAGTGTGTGTGTTGCACTCCTCCACCTCCAGGCTCTTGCTGCAACAAGTGCTGTGCTGCTCCAGTTCAAACTCAGGACCTTGCTCTATCTCCATGATCAGTAAAACATGACCATATTGTGCCTATTATGTTATGTTTGAATAAAAGGACTGTGTAGTCTTCTCACTGAAGCACTTGACAAATTCTCGAACTGAAAATGTCAAGGAATTCCTCATGTTGGATTTCAATTTTCTAATGAATGTCTCTTTTGCCTAGATAAGACGGTGGATTTTTTCTTTTTCTTTTTTTAAAAAAAAATAGCTCACAGAATCATTATTTCTTGCTACCATTTGAGTCATCAACGAGTGAGTGTAAAATTTCTCTCGAAATAAGTATTCTTGAATTTCCATTTTATGTGACTTTCTTCAGTTCTTGTGTAAGAGTTTGGGTCTTAAAAAGTTGTAGAATATAGATCGGTGAATAGTTGTTAGAGAAGTATAACGTATACGGTTAGAGTTTCGTTGTCATGAGTTCGATATTTGGTGCTCTATTTAAAAATAAAAAATTATTATTATTTATTAAAAAATACAAGTTAGTCCTAAAAGTTTAAAAGTCAGGCCTCTTAAAATAGGCTTGTGACCTGATTTCTAAACAAGTTTTTTAACGAGTTCAACCCTATACTACTTTTAAAATGGGTCAAGCCAAGTCAAGTCAAAGATAGGCGAAATCATAGACCTCTAACAAGCTTACTGATCCATTTATATCCCTAGACTTGACGTTCTCTCATGCGTGCCTTCACCTATTCTAAATTTTTATGTATATAAATAAATAAAAACTTTGTCACTAACATTTAATAAATATATGATGGTAAATTTAGATTTTAAAAAATGCTTCTTATGCATCCTTTCCGTGCTTCTGGTGCACCTTACACCCTTCAATATTTAAATGTCAAACATCAATCAAATATGTTAATGTCAATGATTGTTTATGTACGGAACCCCTGCATTCATTAACTGGAAGTCAAACTTTAAATTCTCACCTTACGGCCGGCAACTACATAACCGTGGCTCTGTCATGTGCTTGTCCCGGACAAACTATTATATGTATGCTTCACTACATTCATATTGTCATTTTTTCCAATTCCAAGCATTTATCCTAACCCATTTTCTCAATTATTCCCTATTTTAGCAATAGCAAGCAACTCTCTCAGTTTTACCATGTGATTCTGCACGCATTTCGTTACCAACCATACACATAAACATTGCAATTAGATATCCTAAATTGAAACTTTCAAAGTAACATGGCCTCATGGTTTTGGATGATAATGAGCTCCATTTTGTTATGCAGTTAACATCCCCATATATCCTCAGTGTGTGTTGCGCTCCAACCCCAGGCACTTGCTGCAAGTGCTGTACTAATTTTACAGCACTTGCCGCAAATATAACATCCTCATATGTCCTCAGTGTGCTGCTGTACTAAATTTGATTGAGTCATTGGCCCCAAAGATGCCTCACAATTACAGCTGTTGACAATCTCTAGTCTCCATTCATGACTATAAACTCAAGCGGCTAACTTTCTCTCCCTTTCTTGGCTATTCATTATTATGTACCATCCAATGACAATTTTTCATCGCATTCAATTGATTAAAAGCTGAAAACTACTAGCACAACCAAGTCGGCAGGTTAAACAATTAGCTACATTTACTGAAACCATCAAATTACTCAAGCTCATTGATTTCATTCAATTTCACTCCTATCAAATGGGCCGCAATACTCACCACTATTGTCAGGTCGGGCCACCTTCAATTTCTTGTCAGTCTCCCTTTCAACCATAGCATGAAATTCTTTAAAGGATTGAAGTACCTGGTCTTTAGATTTCAACAAATATATCCACACTTTGCGGGAGTGATCATCAATGAATGCGAGCTCCTCCAAGAGATCTCTCCGACTTGGAGCAAACATCAGTATGGACGAGGTCAAGAATATACCTGCGTCTTCTGGGATGATCCGGTTTCACGAAAGAAACCCGGTGCTGCTTTCCAGCTAGGCAATGCCTGCAACTCTCCAACGCTTGGCCTTTCAACCCGGTCAGTAATCCTTTCTTGTGTAGGATTTGAAGACCTTTCACACTCATATGGCCGAGGTGCTTGTGCCATAGCTCCAAGCTAGGTCCATCTCGGACAGAATTGACTTCTCCGCCATTGATCTTTCCTTGCATCACGTACAAGTAGGGGTGGTAAACGAGCCAGGGGCCTTTGGTTCGGCTCGTAAAGGCCTGAGCTCGTTTAATAAAAGCTTGTGTTGGAACCAGGCTTGGACTTGTATAAAAGCTCGTTTAATAAAAAGGCCTCAGGCTCTAATTCAGAAGCTCGGCCTTAGAGCCTCCCAGGCTAGCCTAATATATAAATATTTATTTATACTTTTTATACTACTTGTAATAACTCTCTCTCATCAATTTATTTCACCCCATTTTATTGGTTTAACAGACTTTTTGAATGATTTTGTTCTATATTATGCTATTTGGATATATATTGAATTTATGTATATTTATGGAATTACTAGTGTTGTTCTATATTATCCTTCATCCTCCTTCACACAAACAAACCCACAAAAACTCATTTGTTCCACTGTGCACTGCTCGTTTGTGTCAATTTTTTTTTATTTTATTTTATTTTTGATGGCACTTTTTTTATAATGGACTAAGATGATATAACTTGTTATCTACCTTCTCTCACTTTAATTTTATTTATTTATTGTAGACTTTGTAAATTATTGCTGCAAATTGGAAGCTAAGGTTTCTATCTGGAAATTGATTTTTTGTGGAATTCTGTTCTCTTATTTTTATTCTTTAACATGCTAACAGGCTAAGACAGACTTCACACAGGCTTTTATTTTTTGTAAATAAACCAGGCCGCAGGCCAATATTATATTCGTAACAGGTAACAAGCTAAGGCCAGTCGGACACGTTTAAATACAGGCTTGGCCCGTTAAGATCAAAGCTCAGCTCGGCTCGGCTCGTTAACACCCCTACGTACAAGGAGCCTTCCTTCTTACCTTGGGCAACAACCAAGTTTTCATTGGCCAACTTCCATCTAACACTACCGAAGTAGTTCGCTAACCCGACATCATCAAGTTTGCTTACCGAGATTAGGTTCAATCGCATGTCAAGAACATGCCTTACATCTTTCAGCACAAGTAGGCACCAAACATCTATGGTCAAGGTTACGTCACCGACACCAACAATCTTGCTGGTCACTGATTTCCCATCTTCACGATTCCAAAATCACTACCTCGGTAAGAGGAGAAAAAACCTTTGTGTGGAGTAATGTGGAAGGAGGCACCAGAGTCAACAATCCAAGTGCAGTCATCATATGCAACATTCAAATAATTATCCTCACCAAGGAGGAATATCTCGGCATCCGATTTGGCAGCCACCGCAGTGGTGCTCTTGTCTTCCCTCTTCTTGGGAATAATCTGATCCGACTTTACGGAGTCGTTCTTCTCATCATTCTGCAAAGTCTAGCAGTCTGGCTTCTTATGTCCTGTCTTCCCACAATAGAAGCACTTCAACTCATATTTTGGCTTTGGTCGACCTCTGGACTTTCCTCTTCTGTCATGATCTCATCCCCGGCTCTTACTTCTACCCTGGGAGTCGGATTTCCCTCTGTTCTCAGCAATGTTGGCCTCAGACATGCTCGAAACATCTCATTCTCTTCTCCTGGATTCTTCATTCAGGAGACTATCTGTTACGACATCCATCTTCAATTTTCCTTCAGGAGCTAAATTACTCAAAGTCATCACTAGAGTATCTCAGCTTTCTGGCAGCGAGCTCAACAGCAGCAAAGCCTGCATCTCATCATCAATTTTCATTTCGGCTTTAGACAACTGATTAACAATACCTTTGTAGGTGTTGAGGTGTTCAATCATGCTCATGTCGTCCTTGTATTCCAGTTTCACAAGTCGGCGAACCAGGTATGCTTTGTTCTTGGGAGTCTTCTTCTGAATCTTGGATTCTAACTTCGTCCACAACTCGTGCGCATTCATGAACTCGGACGCGTGCTCAAAGAGGCTATTGTCAATGTATTTTCTTATTGTAGCTACTGCCTTACGACTCAGGATCTCCCACTCCTTATCGATTTTGCCTGCCGGTCTCTCATCAAGGACAATGGGCTCATGTAAATCTTTGCAGTATAG